ATGAATAAACATAAATCAGAGGTTGTAATTTTAGCAGAAAATATAAGAAATATCTTTTAAGTCATATATTCTTTCTATTGCCTCAATTTCTCCTTAAAATACTTCTACATTTGGTACAAAATTCAAAATGTTTTTTAAAAAGTAGTCAGTGAGGGCGCCTGGGTGGCTCAGTTGGTTAAGCGACTGCCTTCGGCTCAGGTCATGATCCTGGAGTCCCAGGATCGAGCCCCGCATCGGGCTCCCTGCTCGGCAGGGAGTCTGCTTCTCCCTCTGACCCTCCTCCCTCTCATGCTCTCTGTATCTCATTCTCTCTGTCTCAAATAAATAAATAAAATCTTAAAAAAAAAGTAGTCAGTGAAAAGTAAGGCTTCCCTCTTCATTGAACCCATTCTCTTATTGTCTGCCTTGTCTGTCCTTAGTCACTTCCAGAGATTTCTGTCTACATGCTGTCTGCTGTCAAGTCCATGGTTTCTTTCTAATCCTAAACACAGGTACTCTTACACTGCAGTGCACTTCATTTTTCTTTTCCTTTAACAATTTATATTAGAAATGGTTCCACATCAGGATATATAGGGCTGCCTCATTCTTTCTGATGGCTGCATAATACTTCTGTATGGCTTTGTCAAGCACACACACCAAACAAGATGAGCCCAAAGCCAAGACCTGACCCACCTGTAAAGGTAAAGGCACCACTTGTAGATTCAGATGGTTTGTGACTTACAGAGTCAGCAAAGGCAAGAGTAGCCAAACACTGCCGCCCACCTGTCCCACACACCAAAAAATGATGCTAAAAAGGGGAGGGTCAGATGACCACAATATAAGCTGTGGGGGGGGAGGGTTCCTTGTTGCTATAGATCTTACTCTAATTATTTCAATCACTAAATAAGCAGTTGTATTATGTCTGGCCAGTCCCTTAAACATGAGTTCTAAAAGAAGTGTCCTTCAGCTAAGCAATTCTTGATGACACAACTCTATTCTGACAGCACAGGGCAGAATGCCTCATGCCTTATCAAAACCTGGGAGGCAACAAGAAACTGTGTTATGACAGTCTCCCAGGGGGCAGGTGCAGTGAAATGGGAAATAGCCTTGAAGCTGCTAATTGCAGGCCTCCAACCTCTGGTGTTTCAGGAAGATCATAAGGCATCCTGCCAAGACTCAGATCAGCTATTGAGCAAAGCTCTGGTTGTGTGGACCACATAGACCATGTGAGGTCACCAGGGCACACTGGCAGAGCCGTTTCCCTATGGAGCTTAGCATAATTCTTAATTAACGCCCTTTTGAAGGACTTCTGGGGAATTTCCAATCTTTCATTATTCCTAACATATGTCCCATTGCATATATTTACTTATGCCCATAGGATAAACTGCTAGAAACAGAACCGTTGGGTTGAAGACCACGTGTTTACAATTTTGAAGACATCGCCTTTTCTTTGGTATAATATTAATTACCATCCCACTAACAATGGATGAAATAGCTCTGGTTTCTCCATACCCATGCCAACATTATAACATTTTTAGTCTTTGCAATCTAAGTGAAAACTATTGTAGCATGAATTTGCCTTCCTTTTCTTAATGAGTGCAGTTAAACATTGTTTCATATATTTGAGAGCAATTTGTACTTCTTACATATTCATTTTCTTTATTTCTCCTTTAAGTTGTCCATTAAGAATTATTTGTAGGAGATGTTTACTTATTAATTAAATGTTGAAATACTTTTCTAAGTTATTGGGGTAGTGATATCACTATGTATGTATTTTTATAGAAGGTTATGTGGAATTTTTATTTTAATTTTATATGGTTATTTTCATATATTTTATTTCCAGGTTCCTGAAATTTATGTCAGACTTAGAAGAACCTCCCACAATCCTTGATTAAAAAGTACTATCTCATATTTTCTTTAAAATTTTGATAAAACTTACATTTGAAGATATACATATACATACACGTTTTTAAATGTTTATAGGGTTTAGTTTAATCTAGTTTTTTTAACTAAGTATTTTTATTAAAATATATATGTATATTTTATTTTGTAAAAAGCCTTTTCATTATTTATGATGTGGTAATATGAAAATCATGTATTTAAAAAAATGTTTTTAATAGTTCTGGTGCTTGTAAAATGGCTATGTAAACAGGATCACTGAGCACTTTTGATAGGAAAAGAATTAATGGATTATATGAATCTCAGAGAACTGGGCCCTTACTAAGATCCTAAAAATATCTCTTTTCTAAAATCCTTCTGCTCCAGACCGGAAGTGAAGTGAATTGCTATAGTCTTTCTCACATGCCTTCGGAGAAAATCATATAGGCTGAGTGATGTGAACTAGGATGACATTCCAATGAGAAGCAAAGGATTTACATTCTTTCTGCTTCTATCTAGCTATCATCTATCTATCTATCTATCTATCTATCTACCTATCTATCTATCTATCATCTATCTATCTATCTATCCTCTATCATTATCTATCTATCTAATTTATTTTTGACAGAAGATTCCCAGCCCTAGGTGGGAAAAGAAACAAGAACTTAATACACCTTAGTGTAACGAAAGTCCTCAGGGGGCCTCATAGAAAGGCATGATGTCATTCACTGATATCCTTAAGTTAGTCTAAGATGAAAGCTACCATATTTTCTTGCCAATTATTACTTCATAATGTTAAAATTTTAAGAGGAACATAGGTTTTCATAATATAATCAACCTTGGTATAAAATTTGAAAGGGCATAGCTTTAGAGCAGCAGGGCTCTGACAATGGGTCATAGGAACCCAAGGACCTGATTTTAGTTACCCTGCTAGCTGGTGGTATCCAGGGCACATATGAGCACATATGATCCCATGGCAGAAATCAAATTAATAACCTAGATTCTCATTAATAGACAACATTGTTATAAAATAATCTATAGACTTAGATATTCTGTTTATCTTTATTCCTGCTAATAGGGTATAATTATTGCTTCTGGATAACTGAAGCTAAGAGCTTTCATTTCCCAGGTTTATACAACTAGTTAGTGGTAAAGTGGCAATTAAGACTCCTATTCTACAGCTCTTTTTTTTTTACACATAGTCTTTAAGGTGAATCTGCAAAGACTGGAGAGCTCCAGTTGTCCCAGAAACCTCTCAACACATAATTCTCATGTTATAGTCAATTTGTAATGTCACCGTTAGACTCACTGTCTTCTTATATGGTCACTGGGGCAAGCTGGCTGGGCACTCTGGCAGGGGCTTGAATTCTCTGAAACAGAGGTTACTTCAAAGGAATTCTCCAAGATGTTTCTTTCCTAGGTGATGCTTTTTATAACGCAATGTGAAATTCAGACATTTCCTGAAGAAATCTGTTCCAATTTCATAAACTGAGTGACATCACTGGATTTCACTTCCCTCAAATGCTGACATTCAATTTAATGCCACTCAGCTGTGATCCCATAAACATTCTCTACACAGGAGAGATAGGTAGACAGAAGCTTGAAAATAAAGGTTAAATCAGGCAACTGGGAGAATTTTAGAACCATCTCCTAGGTGGGTAGAGTTACAGATGATTTTATGTTTTCTGTTGTCCTCAAGTTCATAAAAGATATCTCTTTTAATGCCATGTGTATTCTCTATTTTTTTTCTTTTTTCAATCACTTAAATCACTTTCAATCACTTTAAATCACTTAAACTTGATAAAGAAAGATGATTGATATTCATAGATTTCCAGTTATCAGCAAATCAAAAAAAAATAATCTACCTGGTATCTTTCTGAGTCAGAGTGACAAATTCTTTTTTGAAGTTAATGAATGGCATAACTTATCAACAGTATGCTAAGCTAAAGTTAGGATCAAAAGAGTAAATCTTTCTTATAGCTCATGATGGTGATTGATAAATGTAAGTCAGACCCTAATTTTTCAATTATTCATCTCCACCTCCACTGTTCTAGTATGCACCCCACTGGTGACTAGAATCGTCGCCTAACAGAGTTTCCCACTATCTGTCTATCAATGCCCTGCCTCCACCTCCCCACAAGTCTAAGCTACAGACTTATACTTACTGATCAAAATAGTACTTTTCAAACAGTAGAGTGTCACCTGGAGGATTTCTAAAACAAATTTTTGAGCTCTTCTCCCAGAGTTTCTGATTCAGCAGGTCTGGGTGGGACCTGAGTATTTTCATTTTTAACAAATTCCCCAAGGGATGCTAATTGGGCTGACTCCTGCTACAGACATTCAGAATTACTAGTCTAAAACATAAAACTGGCCTTGCCACAATCCTGCAAAAAAGTTCTGTAAGCTTCTTGAACAAAAGCACCCTGTTTCATTCATCTCTGTATATTTATTGCCTAGAAAAAAGTCTGGTATACAGCAGAGGCACACTTGTTGAACTGAACTACTCGCAAAGATGGGTAACTTTTGTCTGCCAGTTTGCCAAACTCTGTGCAACCTTCTTTGTGTTGTAGGCTCAGTGCATTCCTTGCTCTCATACAAGAAAGCAAGAAAGAAATGACTGTCCGTGTATATTGTCGAGAGTTGCATAGGAATGAAGGTTGAACACAAGTGCCCCTAGTGTGCATTTTAGATTCCTTTGGATTTTGTTTCTCTCTCTTTTTTTCTTCAGGTATACTTGACATATAATATTATGTTAGTATAATTTCTGTATTTTCCCAGCTAATTGAAATTGATTTTTGAAAAAAGAACAACTGAGTGTAACTACAAGAGTACACAGTTATACAGGAAGGCTACAGGCAGGACAAAAAATTTTAAAGTGAAAAAGGAGATTTCTTGATTTTAAAATGCACACAATTTGCTGATGTCCCATTGTTACCAAGACACTTCTCCCCACAAACACTGCTCAGATGCCCTCCTTGGACTCTTCACTGAAGGCTGCGTGGGCTTAGACAGAGGAGATGAGCCCATGGTAAGACTTGTCAGGGCACCCCATCTTCTCTCAATTGCTTTTTTGTTTGCTGATTTTTTGTTTTTAACTGATGCTGTGCAAAGGGCTTGGGGACCTGCAGGGAGAGTCAACTCACCTCATAGTCGATGTCTAAGGCATCTGCCTCGCCCTTGGTGCGGAAGTGCTGTGTGTGCTTGTCCACAGAGAAGTTCACCTGCTTGCCGACCCGCTCAATGAGGACCGAGTGCCAGTGCTGGTCATCCAGCAGACTGCCCAGGGTGGCCGAGGGTGGGCTGCTGCTGAGCCGAGGTTTGCTGTCATCTGTGAAAGGGAGAGGAAGACTGGATGGCATCCGTGCCCAAGGGCAGCCTTGCATACTAGAATATTCTGTAAGCAAGGCCAGGTCTCTCTATCCTAAAGGTAAAGAATGATTCTCTCCAGGACCAGAATCCTGTTGGATTTGTAAAGGAATAACATGCTTTGCCCACAGATTCCAGAACCGAATTCTAGGTCAGCTGATACACACATCCCTTTCTGGATGTGAAAGGACATGTTTTCAGAACATGAACAGTTAAGTAATAAAATGCACCATATCCTAATGGCCATCAATAATTTTGGAAACTGGGAATATCACATTTAGAAATAATACACATTCTTTGTGTTTGAATGATTTTTGAATGGAGAAAATGAATCTTGAGTTATGCTTTGGAGGAAAACTAAATTCTGGATAAGTAAAGGGAGGACAGTGGGCATCGAGTTAGGTTAAGTCTGAAAGCAAAGGCAAAGGTGAGGAAATAATCATTTTAGCTGCCATTTTCAAGTGCCTGCTATATGAACAGCACTTAAATAGGAAGTTTATACCCTCCATCTTTAATCCCCCATGGGAAAATTATTATCCTCATTTCATGAATAAGGAACCTGAGGATCAGTGAGGTTAAGCACCCATGACCCAGAGGTGCAACTAGCATTCAAATCCAGGTCCGCTTGACCCTTTTTACTCTGCCTGTGGCATAGGCCATATGCACTGATTCAGTCTAAACTGAACTTGGAAGACACCCCTTAGGAGGCTGTGACAGATTCAGGGGGAGAGGTACATTTTTTTCTATCTAGTTCTCCCTCCCCTCTGGCCCTCCTCCGATTTTATGGAAGCTCCTGCCAGTACCCTTTTGTCAAAAAAATTGCAGCATTTTTCCCCCTTCAGAATAGCTCAGACTTAGCAAAATGAACAGTTAAATGCAATTAATTAAGACTTATGTGTAAACTTTCAAGTTTGTGAACGTTTTATTGTTTGGTCCCCTTAGAAACTGAAAGCTAAATGTCTCCCACTTCTCTCCTAAGATGTGTTTTAGCAGAACAGCTGCAACAGTGTGCTCAACAGTGAGGCATTAAGGGGGCAGGAGTTGCTTTCTGTTTCTCCTGTAGGCTGCTCACTCCCACCCTCTTTATGGCCCTAAGGCACTGCTTCCTGCACTGAACAACACTTGGTTGCTTCAGATGGGGGGGGGGTGGGCATCAAACTTATTACAATTGAAAAATGATAGATTATGCATTCATCACTGACTTCATTTCATAATTTGTTCATTATTTCTTCAACAACTTTTAAGTTCTCACAATTGGTCAAATTTTGCCAATGATTAAAAATTATTTCTTCTTTTTCTTCCTCCTCCTCCCTTCCCTCTCTCCATCCTTTCCTTTTTTCTCTTCCCCCTTCCTTCCTTCCTACCTTCCTTCCCTCCTTCTCTCTCCCCTCCCTCTCCCTCTTTCTTCCTTCTTTCCTTGAATAAAAAGGTACTGATATCTACCTCTGCCTTTAGTGGCAGGTGATGTATAAAGGAGATAAAAGAGATAGAGTTAGAAGACACACTCCCCTCCCTAAAAGTCTTAATGGAGTCTCTCAATAAGTAAATTGATAAAAAGTGTGTTGGTAGCATACAGTGTTTAGTGCCAGGAGCCAAACAAGTGCAGGGTAGGGAGCCTTGAAGCTCCAGCAGAGCAGTGGCAGGTCTGAGATTTGGCTGGAAGAAGGAGCACCAACACACAGCCAGGAGAAGCATGTGCCAACACTCGGAGGTGCAAGGAAACATGGTGGGGGAGTCCATGTCCATGCAGCAGTATCATGATCATGCCAGCCTAGCTTATATCATCCAGGACTAATGCTACCAGCACAATTTTTTATCAATTTACTTATTGAGAGACTGCATTAAGGCTTTTAGGGAGGGAAGTGTGTGCGAGGTAACTGTGTATTTTATTTCCCTTTAAGGAATGGGCGTCTGGTGAATTAGTAAATCAGAGATTACCAACTCAAATTAACATTTGAGAAATTTATTAAGAACTCAAATCACACTGAGGATGAGAGGAGAGTTTTTAACTTTTTTTGTTGTTTGCTTTATCTTATATAAAAAAAAAATATTATTTTGGCAGCTGTATGATAATTTGATTAGAAGGCAAGGCTGGCTGTAAGACTAACAGTAATCTAGATGAAAGATCCAGGGCCTTAGGTAAAGAGAGGGCAGGAAGGATGGATTTCCAAGTGATAATATGGTGATGGTCTCTCTTGGATATTGTCACTTGGATATTGGAGGGGAGGTGATAAAGGGAGACTCCCCTAAGGATGATCTCTAGTTTTTTTGTTTTGTTTTGTTTTTGTTTTTCTTTCCTTGTGCAGGTGGGTGGAAAGTGGTACTAGTCATGAGACACACACAAGAGAGAAACTAGAACACCTCCCTCTCTCTTTCTCTTCACACAACACACACCCCACACACCCTTTATTTATAAAATAAAATTTGTCCCAGAGCTAACAAACTATTGAAGGAAACAGTGTGCCTTATAAACGGCCGTTCTAGGTAATAAGCCAAGTAAAATTAATATTAGAGGTTTCACTTTGATGTGTGTCTCAATTTTCTTCTTAAAAGGAAAAAAGACATTTGACAATTATTTCTTAGCAGTAAGTCAGAAATTTTAAACATTTGAAAATGTAAATCCACCGTAAGTCACAGAAAGAAGAATAAAAGGAAAAGAATCACATCCTTTCTCCCTACTTATTTATTCTATGTGCTGCTTTTGGTGGGTTTCAGTGTTATACTGTGTACTTTCAGAGAGCCAATGAAAATGATTAAAACCAAGTATTTAAATATTTGTATATATTATTATTCCAGCTTCAGAAGATGAATTTAATTATAAATGGGTCAAAGTGACTATTTTTTTTTAATTTAACTTTTTGGATATAGTAATGGATCTTCCTCCCATCCCTGTTTCCATAAGCTAATCTTCTATATATTCCCTATAGCTAATCACTGTTATTAATCGCCTGTTTCTCCTTCCAGAAAAAAAAAATAGGCATATGCAAGCCATATATACTTTATACATGTATATATGTATGCATTTGTGTATATATACTCTATATGTACAATTTATACTTTATATATGCAATACTTTATATATGCAATTTATAAATGCAATATATATCTGCATTTTACTTATGCATATAGATGGCAATATATGCAATACTCTATATATGCAAAGATATGTATTCTTTATTTCTCCTCATTTAACTTTTTACCCTAATGGTGAAATACAATGCACATTTTTATGGACCTTTTCATTTTCACTTAATCTATCCTAGGAATTTTCTAACATTAGTATATAAAAAGTTGTCTCATTCTTTTTTGCAGCTGCATAGTATTTATTGAATGATATATGTGATATATGTATTAGCCAGTTTTCTATTGATAAATATTTAGGTAGTCTATCTATTGTTGACCCCTAATATTGCTGAAATACCTCGTATGTAGCCCTCATTTTGGATGTGTGCAAGACTTTCTGTCGCGTGCATTCTTAGGTAAAGAACGAATGGTCACAAGTGTTCATCATTTGCAATTTTGACAGGCACTGCCAAATTGTCCCCTACAAAATTTGTGCCTATTCAAACTCTTACCAGCAATTTATGAGAATGACTTTTCTCCACAGGCTTGTCTAGAAAATACGTTCAAGCTTTTGGAATTCTGCCTGTGTGATAGGCAAAAACAGTATATTTCTTAGCAGTTTTAATATACATTTCCCTTAAAGTGAATGAGTTTGAAAATATTTTCATTTTCTCTTTTATGATCTATCTCCTCATATTTTTTGCCTATTTTTTTCTGTCATTTTCTTATTGATTTCTATTTAGTCCATTTTCTATAACATTAATTGTGCCAATATCTTTTTGCTGTTGTCTTTTGCTTTTGCCTTTTTTCTTTGTTTTTTAATTCTAATTTTTTTTTTATCATTCAGCAGACATTCTTTTGCTGAAAAAGCCATCATTTTCTTTTTCTTTTATGGCTTATTTTATGGATTTGTGTTATGGTTTAACATGACCTCCCTTTCTGAGATCATTACAGAATTCTTCCATTTTCTTCCACTTCATTTCATTTGGATTTTATTCTGGTATATGAAATAAGGTAGAGTTCTTCTCTTATTTCATCTTTTTAAATGTCTAACTACATGTCCCAAGTCCATTGTTTTTAAATCCTTGGGTGATTTCTTTAAGTTAACCAGATGTATAACTTTCAAATGTAATAAGAAACACTTAGATGAGTTGATTTGTTACATTGATCAGGTTGAGGTTCTGTGTGTATGTATATTGGTATTTTTAAATCCTGAAACTTCAAGTAGTAAATTTCCAAGTTGGCTGCTGCCCCCATATTCTACTTCCATCCACTGCCACTGTCATCACCATACTCTTCTTGCCTCAGAACATCTGGGCAGGAGGAAGCAGAGTCAGCATTCATAACCCCATCCACATCCTTATCAAGGTTAAAGTCAGCCTTCCTCTCCCACACCCTAACCTTGCCTCAGCAAGTTTGCTATTCCATCCAATAATCCCACTGATAATCTAAGATTCAGAGGAATGAATGTGTGTATCTTATTAAATAAAAGGTAGCTACTTCCCTCTTACTGCATCTAATGAAAACATGAACTTTAATTAACACACTTACCTTCTCATGAAAAATAGGTTATGAAAATTTCATGAGTATTTATAGCAATTTGTTGACCTTCCCTCAAAAGTGAATTAATATTGTTCCTTCTTTACATTGTTTACTTAATTTAGCCAAATCTTTTTTATTGCCCAAAAATAATGCAAAATAAAAATCCCACCATTATTATTGAAAAAAAACATAAATCAGTAAGTATTGAGGGACTAAAAAAATGTTCATAACTTTTTATCTAGTACCAACATCCTGGAAGTCTCTTCTAAGAAAACAAACTGAAGTATGGTGATTTCTTTTTCAAAATGTCTAATAATTTAAAAATTGGAGGTAAAGTCCAAACATTTGGAAAGAGAG